CAGGGATCTCCTAGAAATACTTTGCAGACTGATGAGGCAGAGGTCACCGGGGCTGCGGTCAGGGTTTGTCTGCTCCTTCCCCACTTTCCTGCAAGTAATTCTCCGGTCATGGCAGTTGTGCACGTTAAAGGTCAGGTTTAAAGGCCCTGTCTGCTCTCAGGCTCTGAAGGACAATTGCTGGGCTCCTGGCAGCCTGGGACAGGCAGCTCTGCTCCTTAAAATAAAAAGAGGCAAGCAAAACCCAGAACAGGCGCTTAAATTGTCCTGGAATAGTAGAACTTACAGCCACAAGAGATGATAAGTGCTGGAGGAAAAGAAGAAAAACCTGGATAGACACACAACATTGCTCAGGGTGAAAAATCACTCTCTGGATGCTGCATTCCCACAGCCCCAACTGCTCTCGCTCCTGCGCACGGTGCGGTGCCAGGGCAGGAGCGCCGGCTCCTGGGTTTGCTCAGCGATTCCCTGCTTGGCTTTGGGCAACGCTCTCAGTCTTTTCCGTGCCTTTGTTTTTTACAAAGTGTGCAACCCAGGATGAACACCTCTCTCTCCAGGGTAATTAATGAACTGCAAAGTACTTTGATGTCTTCAGAGGGAAAGTGCTGGCCAAGGGAGGCTGCGGTTGCTGCAGGAGGGAGATGTAACTCCCATCCAGCCCAGGACACAGGTGGGACCTGAGTCTGGCCGGGCTCCAGGCAGGTTGTTGAAGGCCACTTGGGTGAAACTTTCGGTGGGTCTGGGACCTTAATCAGCACTTAAACACTATGCAAACACCCTGGACAGATAAGCAAACGCATGTGAAACCCTGCGAGCAAGTTGTCGTTGAAGGAAAACAAGTGCAGAGAGAGAGCAGCGCTGGAGAGGGCGGCTGTGGTCCTTGGCATGGTGTGTGTTCCCCATGATACCGGCTGGCCCTCTCCTGCTAAGTGAGTGCTACTGGCTCAATCCCATCCTGCAACCCAGATACGCTTCGGGGCTCTTCAAAGGGATAAAGATGTATTTTTAACTTCAGGCAGCTGCCTTTTTTTGTTGTTTTGTTTTTGTGTTTTTTCTTCTTGTAGCTCTGGAAGTGGCAGGTTGTTTTCAAGCCCCTCTGGTTCTCAGCTCTCTTCGTGGAGGTGCCTAGAGGTCTCAAACCAGATTCCCAAAAATTTCAGCGCTGGAAGTTGGTAGCCGCTTTTGAAACTGTTGGCGAGACTGTGCAGCTCCTTACAGATGTTAGCTGATGGCCATTTGAACATGCTTTCACCTCAGCCAAGTCCTCACCCCATTGAAGCCAATGGGAATTTTCCTTGAAAAAGGCCATAAAGAAATCATTTTCTTGGCATGGTGAGAGGTGTTTCATGGGCTCCACATCAGCGTTCAGGAGAACTTCAGCTATCTGCTTTGATTCCTGCCACACTTGTCCCACCCTGCACAAAGTGCTCTACCTTTTGATCCAAAATAGCACAGGAGATGTTTTCCACATGCCATAGGAAAATGGAAGAACTATAAAACTTAATTGTTTTGGAGTTTGGCACCACTTTGTTCACAGATATATTTAGCGTGAATTGAAATTGGTCAGCAAAAGGGCGTTTGCCAGAATGACAAATGGATTAGGGTTGTGTATCTGAGGCAATTGCATACCTGCCCATCCCATGCGGGTAGGGTTGATGGGCGGCTTAATTGCTTCATGGATAGTCATAAGCAAGCACGCACAATTTGCTTCTTTTGGGCAGTGTTAAAAAGCATTATCTGCCTGTAAAAGGCGTTGTTTGGCTCATGGCATGCTTTGTGTTCTCCCAGCCTTGAGGCTTGATGTCACCACTCTTGTCGTTGCTACTTGGCCCATTTGCTCTTTGAAATGTGGTCCATCACACCTGAAGCTCAGCCTCCTCCCATGCATGCAGCTCATCTGTGAAGGAAATGGTGGTGCTTTGCATGTGGGGCCAACTTCTTCTATCCTGCCTCCCCTCTCCAGTGATGGAGCCATCCCGGCAAGCACCAGGTCAGAAGAGCTCATCTTAAGAGCAGCACTGGGTTTGGGAGAGGGAGAAGCTATGATGGTCCTCCAGCATCAGCCCCATGTGGATCAATCCAGCTCAGCAGCAGGGTGAGGGTACGTCTTGCTGTGGCTGGCTTGGCCTTGGAGAGGAGAGGTTGCAGTTGATAGCAGCTAGTCCTTCCTGGCCTCTGCTCCAGCCTTGCTCCTGTGATGGTGCCCAGGGAGCCAAGACCAATCTCTCCTGCCCCTGGGTGTGTTCATGCACATGGGCTTGCACACTCTGCTCCCATCGGTGGTTTTCTTTGGGCTGATATTTGTTAGCGTTGGAAAGTGAGAAAAATGAGCAAAAATATTATCAGAAGCAGGTTTTGTGAATGAATCAGCCGACAAGAGGCTTACCAGCTCGCCTTCATTTACTAGCGCAGTGCTTATTTAGGCAGATGTCTATATATTTTAGTTGGAGGCAGGAGGGAGTGAGAATCGATGGGGGAAGGCACCGCTTCCAGTTTGCTGCTTTTCCGTCAGTTTGTACCATTGGTTTTCTGAATGAAGCAGGGGACTGCAACGTGTCTGAGATGCCGCCCTGCTGCTGCGCTTGTTCTTCTGCTGTTGACAGCTTGGTGGGACACCAAAGAGAGGAGAACAAAAGACTGTCGGAAGGCTAAAACCCTCTTAAGCAGCTCGTTGAGGATCCGAGCCTGGCCAGCCTTGCCCGTCTCTCGCACGGTGCTTTTTCATTTGATCCTGTCTGAAGGGCGGCCTCATGGCCTTCTCTCTTCTCACTATGTGTTTCTAATTAACAGGGAGACTGGTGTATAAACAGAAGATTCCTGCTCAAAATATTCCTTGTCCGGCTCCTAGGATGACAGCCAGACAGCAATCGCCAGGCAGCAGCCCAGACTTTGAGCTCGCCCATCTGGCTATCAAACCTGGTTCCAGTTCTCATCTGGAACCAGTATTGAGGAAAGTCATGGACTTTGCCAGATTGGTTTTGCCCCGTGTTTGCTTTTCAGTTGCTACCTAAGCAGCTAAAAACCTGCAGACCAAATGCATTTAGTATTTCTGGGAAGTGGGATGATCCCAGCATTGGGAGATCTGGGGCCAAAATGATGAGGAAGTTCAAAAGTATACTGGACAAATCCATTGAGGGATGGGCCTGTCGGTGGCTTTTAAATCCTCTGGGTCAGATGCACTTTCCAGCCATGAAAGTGCTTTTACTGCTGGTCCGCAGCACAGATGGGGAATGATCCTTCTGACGTGTGTTTCCAAGCAGCTGCTGAGAGTCTCTTGTGGATGGCGTGCTGGGCTAGGGTGGCTCTTTGATTCAGCTCACTTGGGATGTTCTCTTGCCAGGCAGCCACACATTGGCTGACTTAAGTTCAGACAAAACTCTTCTTGCAGTCTCCCCGGTGTGAGCCTGGAGTTGTCACACCTGAAAAGAGCTTGGAAAGCTGTGGCAGAAATAAAACACTTGCTATTATGATTTTTCGCACTCTGTCATGACAGTAGAGCTATGCTCTGACAAAACATCACGATGCAGCTTCTGAGAAAAAGGAAATGTTAAAGTCTGTAAATGCTCCATGTGTTTGGTCTTCCAAGAAGCAGGAGAGATCCATAAATTAAGCATTCCTACATGAGCCTGCATTGCTTACCCTCCGTTGTGCACAGTTTGATGTGATTTCTTTACTTCTATATCAGTGCCTGAGTTCTGGAGTGCTGGAAAGCTGAAATTGGAGGTGCTAGAGAGAATGCTCGTGTTGGGAGGCTGGATGACACAGTTCCTCCTTGGCATATTCTAGAAGACACTTCATGTTTGTCACCACTGTAGGACCAGAACGGCCTGGTCTGTCACTGGTGTGGGACCTGTGAAGCTGCTGAAGAGCTCCTCTATACAGAGATGTCCTCGGCCTGGGTTGTTGCGATGAGAGGTGATGTGCGTGCATGGGTTGAATCATAATTTGGACTGGAAAGGACCTCTGGAGGTCTTGGTCCGAGCCCCTGCTTAAAGCAGGGCCAGCTTCAATGTTAGATCCAGCTACAGTTAGATGTGCTTGCTCAGACAGATCAGACCAGGCACCAAGGAGGGGTCAGCTGTCACCTTTCAGGCTTCTGTAGCAAGCAGGAGGTATTGAGATCTGTCCTCATTGCCACTGCAAAGTCCAAAGGGACTGGTGTCTGCAGTATTGCAACCATCGTGTCCTATTTGGCAAAGATCGCTCTCAGAAACGGCACCCAGTAAAAATGCACAAAGCAGAGAGTGGAGGTGGTGGAAGAGGTCCAGTGTTTATCCCCAGATTTCTGCTAACTGATCTTGAAATGGCTGAACTAGCTGGGGGTCTTGCAGCTTGCAGCAGTGGGGGAGTGAGGCCCAGGACACATGGGGCTGTTCCGCGGTCAGCAGGAGGGGCCAAGTGCAGAAGTGGGTAGAAGATAAATGAGTAATGCACTGTATGACAAACGATGTGAAAGACGATATGGCAAGGACGATCACTGAAATGGCAGGATCTCCGAGGGAAAGTAGGGTGGCCATAAAACAGAGGCAAGGTATTTTTGTAAGCAGGCCTGAGAATTTATTTTAGCGCATTAATATTGAGTAAGTATTCCTGGAGATACTCTGGGGGATGATAGATGGACTCAAGGTATTGTTACTAATCACTGTGGTTTTAAGTTTTGGAGCCGAAGTGCACTTGGCATCCTTAACCCAACTGGACTTCTGATGGGAAAATTACATTCTTCGGGAAGTAATTTAGAAGGTCAAAGAAAAACCAGAAAGAACTTCTCCAGCAGTGATTTCCCCTGCTCTCTAAACTGTCTTTTAGTGTGGTAATAACTCCAGAATGAAAGGATCTATTCTCACCTTCCAGATGAAAGGGCTAATGCAATTTAAAATTTTTGCATGCAAAGATTTTTATGGCTTGGTAACCGGCCATGCTTGAAAGCGATCCAGGACGGGATGAACACGTGAGGGAGCGCCTGGCTGAGCTTGACCCTTTCCTTGTCTGCCCTGTCTCCTGCAGATAATGGCGATGACCGGTCCGAGAGCATCCTTGCCGAGAACCACGTGGATGGCACCACAGGGATCCTGAGCGGAGCTGGTGGGAGGAAGCCCATGAAGACGGGCATGAAGGAGCTGGCAGTTATGAGGGAGAAGGTGAACGAGCAGCAGCGGCAGATGGGCAAAGTCGGCAAACCCCATCACAACCACGAGGACTCAAAGAAGTCACGGCTGTCGACGGGCAGGGTGAGGGGGCAGGGGTTCATGGGGAGCTAACGGAGGCAGCTGCGGGAAATGCTGAATGCAAAAGCCTTAGTGACATTTGCAACAAACGGTCTTAAAAAGAAGAAAAAAAAAAAAAAGAAAGAAAAAAGGGGGGAGAGGGGGGGAGGAAAAAAAAGGAAAAGCAAACGTTTGTTTTGGCCTGAAGTTGGGGCCGAACACACCATCTGATGAACTTTGATGTGCTGGCGAGGAGGTGTTATTTTCGTTGCAGCTTCACCTCCTGACAGCAGAGCTGGAGAAGGGGGGGTCCCGCTGGCTCGACACCTACCTCCGCAGGGGTGTGAGCGTGCCCTTTGCCCGCAGACCAGCTTTCTCACACCCTTTTTCCCTAAGCGGGTGCCAGGGACGGCCCAAAGGGATTTGGGAGGTGGGAGGGTGTCTGCCTGCTGCAGGGCAGCCCCTGACCAGGTTGAGGTGGGGAGGGGGTCGCAGAGCCCCCGAGGATGGGCTGTGGGGCTGTCACATAGCAGGGAGAGTGCCCGGAGTCCTCCCTGTCCCTGTCTCTCTACCCTCCAGTCCTTGGCCGTGGTTTCCCTCTAGTGGGCAGCTTGGTCAAGGCAACTAGATGGGATGGGGATGGAAAGCCACCCCAAAAGGTCGTATCTTTATAAACATGTAGGGTATTTATATCTGGGGAGTGCAGGGATAGAAAGGGGCTTTAAAAGAGCCCTCACCCCCTCCAAGGAACCAGCAAAGCAGAGGTTCAAAATAAGGTGCAGGCTCCATCAAGTTAGAGAGCTCCCACACTGCTGCTGCTCCTTTGGGGAAAAACAAAAACAACCCAACAGCAACTGCAAAAGCAGAGAGGTGTGGACTCCAGCTCACATCAGGAGTAATTCAACCAGGCTGCCTTGGCCGGGAGCTCTGGTTTGGGGATGCTGTGGAGCAAGAGGCTGGCTTTTCTGGGTGCTCTCGTTCCTGGGGCTTCCTCTCCACTCCCATGGGGGTCTCACATGCTTTGAGTTGCATTTCTGGACCAAAACTGCATCACAGGTGTGGGATCTGGGCTATATTCATGGAAACCTTACTGGTCTGTCTGGATTAGTCCTGCTTCACATCACTTGTCACCACCAGTGGGACCCATGGGACCATCTCTGAGGCATCTGCTCCTCTGTGCCTCCAGGGCCTGTGACCTGGTGTCATGTTGGCTCTTGGCCACATGAGGCACATGGGAGAGATGTGCAGGTCTCCCCACAGGTATCTCCGCACATCGAGAGTGTGTGTGTGTGTGTGTGTGTGGACATGCCTTTGGGTACCTGCAGATGAAGTCAGCAGTGGGGCCTAGTGGCAAACCTGTGTCCTGAGGAGGTGCACACAGGTGTTTCTGTTTGTTGTCTGAAGTGTTGATATTATGAATCGTCCCATTGCCCTGATGGTTTTGTTTGTTTTCTGCTTTCTTGACTCTTTTCAGACCCCTTGTCAGCAGGAGCTGGATCAGGTCCTGGAACGCATCTCCACTATGCGGCTGCCGGATGAGCGAGGTCCCCTGGAGCACCTCTACTCCCTCCACATCCCCAATTGCGACAAGCATGGCTTGTACAATCTCAAACAGGCAAGTGGGGAGACCCAGAGCCCCAGGGCTGGCTGCACTCCCAGCAGCAGCCCTCGGCTCAACGCACGTCCCCGCCACGCGCAGCCAAGGGGGACACACAGCATCTCAGGGCTGGGCTGATGTCGCACACACGGTTGCGAGCTGTGGGGTAAATGGCAAATATCACATGTGGCATGGACAGGTTTAGTAACACCTGGGTGCATTTGCAGGCACGGGCTAGCAAGTGGAGATGTGAGACCCACAACCACACATAGCTGTGGGCAGCCTAGAGATGGAGAATCTGTTTAGTTCAGAGCCCCTTCTTCCATGCGAGAGCTGCCTATCTGTCCAGGTCTATTTTCATGTGCTTTCAGCCAAGACTTGTCCTGGCTGGGCCTTGCTACAGGGGAAAAGCAGAGAGAGGCTGAACACTGGCCAGTCCTGCAGACAAAGCAGAAAGCACTTCTCCTGGGGTCAGGAAGGTGCACTTTACTGGTTTTCCTCTACAAATTGAGGCTGGTCCTACAGCTCTGGGAGAGATTCCTTTCAGGCGAGGTGGGAGTTGGGGCGCAGCATGCTTCTGAAAGTATTTATGGGACCCAGAATAACTCAAACGACTTAATGAGTGTCTGAATTTTGACTTCTTGGCTTCATTCATGTAAAACCAGCAGGTGTCAGCAGCTGAGGCATGGGGAAAAAAAACGCCAGGAAAAACCTCTTGAGCAGCAAAACACCAGCTTGTCCAGGGTTGACTGGCAGCCATGTGTGAATAGTACCAGGATATGAGCACCCCTTACAGCTATGTATAAATAAGCCCTGGGAGGGGTCTGGAGAAGACCTGCTGTTTTCATGGCTAAGCCTTTTTCTTAGGGCTCCTTCTACCCCTTGACCCAGGAGCATTTAAAAACAAAACAAAAAAAAGGCATTAAGAAAAGTAGGGTCCTCTAAGATAATCTCCCTCTGTCCCTTCTCTCTTCCCTGTCCTGACTGGACCCGACTGGAGCCTCACCCTCTGCCTCCCCCTGAAGAGCCCCACTGCTTGTCTGGGTCCCCCAGCATGGGCACACGTAGAAGGGGGGGAGCAGAGCCGGCAAATTCCCCCTAAGGAGATGAGCTGTGTCTGGGGAGTGAGCCTGGGCGATGCAGCGGTGCATCGTGTGCTACAAAAGACAAGACAGTCTCTGCTGCTCCTTGTGACTGGGAAACGAGTCAGCCAGCACTGGAGGGTGCAGATGGCTTACCCACTGGTCACTGCTGCAGAAAAAAGAGAGGGGACAAAAATTGCTTTCTCTTCTCTGCCCTGCCCTGGCTAAGGACAAACATGAAGTGATACCCATTTCCCTCCACCTGGGTTTCCAGAGCTAAGTATCAATTCCTTTTCATTTTCTGGAAATGGGATGCCAATAAAAGCATTCCCAGTTGCTCCCACCTCCTGTGGGCCAGCACTCATGTGGAGAATGCCTGGATGCACTCTCGTCCTGGGGAGGATTTTTTTTCCCTCTCTTTTCATGCTTTTTACTCCCCATGAACACGGCTGCATTTTGACCTCAGTCTGGATACAAAAAATGGCTTGAATTCAGCTTTACAGAGTGCACGCAGAGCCCAGTCTGCTGGAGTAACCTCTGCATCTCCCACTACACCCTATTCAGAGATGTATCTGGTGGCGCTGGAGGGATGAACATCAGCTTCAAAGTGCCTGCAGCCCTGCCAGGGCAAGGGGTGGATGATAACCGTTAGGGCAAGAAACTTCTCTCTGACTAGACCAGGATGGGGGCAGAGTCCAAGCCCCGATGCACCACACTACCCACCCACTGCCTCTGTGTTGGGATGGAGTGCGACCCTGTTTGGAAACATGTTTGGGTCTGGCCATGGGGACCTTGCTCTCACCTTTAGTTTGTTTAGCCTAATTTGCAAGCAAAATGAAGCTTACACAGCACCTCAGTCAGTCTGTCTTATCTCTCTTCCCCCAGGGATTTTTGACTCTGTGGGTGCTTTCATCCACAGCTGATAGAGGGTGATGCATCTCGGGGACAGTTGTTGTTGTGGTTCATTAAAATCAGCTTTTTGGTCCCTGGCACAGTCCCTGGGGGAAGAGGTGGAGCCCTCAGCCTGGACCGCTGGAGCAGTGATGCTCGTGCAGCACAGACCCTGTAGTGTCCGAGTGTGGCATCCCTGAATCTTGCCTAAATCCCAAGTAATGCCAAATTGCTGGAGAAACCCCAGCTCTGCCTGTGTTTGGGCTTTGGGCTGGTGCAGCTGGGAAGCAGGTTTTGTCTCCCCGTTTCCTCTGCTGATGGCTGCCCTGTCCCTCTCTGTGCAGTGCAAGATGTCGGTGAACGGGCAGCGTGGCGAGTGCTGGTGCGTGGACCCCATCCACGGGAAGGTGATCCAGGGCGCACCCACCATCCGCGGGGACCCCGAGTGCCACCTCTTCTACACAGCCCATGAGCAGGAGGACCGGGGAGCACATGCCCTGCGGAGCCAGTAGACGGACGTGATCCTGCTTGCTGGAGGTGGCTCGCTGTGGCCCCAGTGCTGGATTTTACATGGGTTTCAGCGTGTCTCTTTAGGCTCTGGAAGAGACTGGGGTTGGGTCCTGTGTGCTGCCCTCCTTCCCCTGCTGCCCGGCTCCTGGGAAGGGGAGGGATAACGGGAGGGGAAGGGCGGTGGGGGGGTTGCAAGGAGAAGGGACTGCTTTCCTATAGTCTTTCACCCAACGTAAGCCAGAGAACCGGTCTTTTTTGCTCCTCGCCCCGCAGCCCTGCCCTCCCTGCTGCTTCGCGGCATCTTCCCGCACCCTCCAGCACAGAGCGCTGTGTGCCCCCCAACACATCCCAGGGGACAAAAACCCTCTTGCCACGGGTGGGAGTGGGACAAAAAAAACAAAGGAAAAAAACCCCACACCCTTTCCCCCTCTTTACCTCCCTTCCCCGAGACCAAAGACTGTAAATACTGTGTCGCCTGCCTCTTGCGTCCTGCTGGTCCCCTGCGCCCCAACCCGGCCATCGGTCCTGGCATGGGATGTGGTGGGAGGGAGGGAAGGAGGAAAGCCCCCAACTTCCCAGCTGGAACATGCTGGTGTGGTCGGGATGCATCTGCCAAGGAGGCATCAGTGAGGGAAAGGGCTAAGGATGAGACAGCCCCCCCCAAAAAAAAAACAAACCCCAAAACAACATGCCCCTGGGTCCTTCCCTTTCTGGTGCTGGGGCACAGCCAGCCCCACAGGGACCCAGTTCCAGCCACTGGCATGGGAGGATGGGGCCTTTGGGTGATGGCAAAGCTAAACGCTTGGTTTTCCAGGGGGTTTGAAGGGCTATTGCCCAGTATTTCTTAGGAACAGCTTATGCTGAGGGAGCTAAAGTGAACGTGCTGGGGCTGGGTGGAAGGATGCCTGTGTAGATTTAGGATAACAAGCCCGGGAGTGTCTCTCTCTCTCATTCATTCATTCATTCTTTGTTTCTAGATAGGAAAAAACCCATCTAAAACCTGCACTCCCAAGCAGCTGCCTTTGTCCCCCCATTTTCACTTGGGACTGGAGTGAGCATCTGCTATTCAGCACACACTTTTTCTGTTTTGGTTTTTTTTTGGGTTTTTTTTTTTTTTGTAAGTAAATTACAGTATATATCTTGCTTTGTAAAGGCCCTGACACACACGCACCCCTCTTGCCCCCCCCAACACTTGTATAGATTAAATCCAAGTGATTCCAGGCGCTCTGAGAGGTTTTGCGCCGGACATGCCACTCCGAGGAGAGATGCGTCTCTGCTGTTATTTCACCTGTTGATTTCTTTCTGTACAGAACACACCGACGCTGAGAATAAATAACTTCCCCATTGCCTAAGCAAGGAGATTTTATTATTTTCTTCCCTTTTTTTTCCCCCCCCCCTCCTTTTTAATGTAGATACCATTTGTAGAGCAAAATCCTCTCCTTACAGTAAAAGTCTTGGGCTTTCCTTAAACGAAATCAAGCTGGAGGGGGGAAATAAAGCATTTCCCAATTTCTGGCCAATGCTTCTGAGTAGCAAACAGCCTCCAGATCCCAGGTCCTCTGCAGGGTTAGGTTGAATAGGGTGGAGAAAGGGGGTTCCTTGGTGAGTGTGGGTGCTGACTGGGAGCACCCTGTGCCTGCATGGTTGGGGTCAGGCAGCAAAGCTACCTGACTGTGACTGCGACCCACAGGGATGGGACGGGACCAGTCCCTGGTGACTGACAGCATATCCCAGAAACACTAAACGGTGCTGGAGAAACACCACCTCGGGGTCCTCACTGATACCCCCTCGTGTGGGGACTTTGATCTGGAGAAAGAAAAACAAAAAGCCCAGCGAGCTCTGGAGGAAAGGGAGCGCTGGTGTTTGTGGCTTTTTCCCCCCTTCTTGGCCCCGCATTTCACATCCCAAGCGCAAAGAGCACAGGTGGTCTCTGCAAATTAAGCCCCTCACAACTTTGCAGGGGTTTGGATGTGGCAGTGGAGGAGATGGGGAAAGGACCCCCTTTGGAAAGTCAGGGGTGGGGGTGTGTGCACGTGGATATGTATGAGAGGGAGCGAGAGTGCATGAGAGAGAAAGAAAACACACCTGCATGCAAAGCCAAGTAACTGTACAAATGATGCTACCTGTTTTCTGTTAACATCCAAGGGTGTTCTGCTTTTTTATGTAAACCTTGCACATGCTGGCTCTCATCTGCAGTTTGTACTTTTTGGTTTGTTTAGGAATCAGGAAGTTTTCTTTTGTGTTTCTCTTTTTTCTCTTTTGGAAAAGCTGCGCTGCATAAAGTTGGAATAAATTAAATGGGATGCCAGAAAACTGTCATCTTCCCCCTCCCTACTCCCTTCTCTTCATAGGACATGTTTCCTGATGCATTGCACGCAAATTTGGGCTTGTTCAGATTTAGTCCTAGGCGATGTTGTAAACACTGGGCCTGACGAGCAGCATGGGATTTGGGCCTTTCATCATTAACTGGTCCCAGTTCTACGAGCAGCGAGGAACTGGTGTCACTCGTCCCCTGGCCTGCTGTGTTCCTGCTCCACACGTGGTACCTTGTGAGTCTGCAAAATGCAGCCGTGCCCTCGAGTCGGTGTCTGGCCAGCACGTATGCGGAAACCATCTCCCCGCCTGACAGCAGCTAGATTTGGTGGAAAAGGGTGGTTGTGTCCTGCTTTGCTTGGGCAGAGAGGATGGCAGCGTGAATGTCCTGTCTGGCATGATGCTCATGAAGTTCCCTGAGGCTGCACGAGAGCAGTGGTTTCCTCCTCCTTGAGCAGGGGAGCAGCTTTGCGAGGGAAGGTCCCTCCTAACACAGTGCAGGGACCTCAGGGACTCTGGCAGATGCTTGGACAAAGGTTATAAGGAGAAGGGAGCTCTGCTCTTTCCAGCTTCCCAACCTTGGTATTTCACAGGTTTCCTGAATTGGCAATTGCATTTAACTGTGCTGTTTATTAGCCGGCAGGTGGACCTGTTCGCCATGAATCATCCAAGGTCCTTTAAGCATCTTGCTATGGTTTTGGCCTCCTCTGCACCCCATGCAAAGAGTTCCTCAGCTAAGCAGGGCACTGCAGGGAAAAACCCTCCATGGATTTCCACAGAGGACCCTCCAAGGGCTCTTTGCTTGCTCAAGAAGAGCAAAATTTGAGCCAGCCAAAAAGCCAGACTTAGTGTTTCCATGAAAAGCCTTTGCTCAGAACGGGCTGCTGGGAGAGGCCTGGGCTGCGTGTGGGATCAGGACTTGGCTGAGCTGCTCCCCTCACAGGGCCGTGGAGCCAGGTCCCTTGAAGGTCCTGCACCTTCTCCCAGGGCGAGAGGTGCTGCCTAATGGAGCATGATGGCACAGCTTGGTGCTTGGGGCACCATGGGGAGGCAAAGAACAATAATAATAGTAAAAAAACCCACACCCAACCCACGCTGCATTCAATTAAAATTGCAGCCTTGAGGGAGAGACCCCATGTGGCCCCTGACTGCCAGCACACAGGTGACTGTGGTTTCCCTTTGGCCTCCCCAAAGGAAGTCAAAGCCACCAGGCTGCTCAGCCATCTATTTTTTCCTACCCCATGTCAGGACGTTGAGTGGGATCGGCGTGTGCTAAGTGACAGGGCAGTGGCAGGGAGCATACGGGGTTGCAGGGGAAGGGGGTAGGACAGGCATGATTGGGAGGGGGGATGTAAGCTGGAGAACACGGGAAAAGGAGCAAAATTAACACTTAATATCATCCTGTTTTGTGCCCCTGGGGGGAGCTGAAAGTGGCTCAGGAGATGCCATGGGGGCAATGCCAGTAGCACTGTGGGACACGAGGATGCTACAAGGAAGGTGCTGCCCAGGGAGGACTGGGGGTGGCTGAGGTGTCTGAACTCAGAGCCCAGCCATGCACGGGACCATGCTCAGGTGCCAGGGCTGGAGGTGGCCTTTCCACATGAGTCAAGAGCCTGAGGAAGACAGGAGCCCTCAGCCCAGCAAAGGGCTGAGGCTCCTTGCAGAGGGGCAGAGACGCAGCAGTAAGGCAAGGGGAGCAAAGAGCTTCTGGTTAGGTTTCCCCAGGGCTGCAACACAGCCTTGAAGCCTGCACGTGTGTGATGGGTGTCACTGCTTAGATCCTGGCTCTGGGGTCTCTTCTGGGCCGCCTTTGTGCCTCCTGTACTCTGGGTAATCAGGTGCATGGTTGGGCATTGGGACCTGGCCAGCAGCACGCGCGGTACTAGCCGAAACCCCAGCAGCTCGGGTGTACACACACAGAACTATCTACGCTGGCAAACTACAGTTTTAGTATAGCATAAAAATTACACACTAGTATAAATAATACAATTTAATATAAATAATGTAATTGGTATAAGACTGTATAGCTGTATCTATGTACAGCTATAGCTATCTATACACATGCATATAGCCTGTGGGTAGGAGTATGACCCACTAGCCCACTAGCTGGGGGTTAAAAAAAAAAAAAACAAAAGCCCAAACTTTTTTGGGTGGAAAACCCATTTTCAGTGGCTGAAAGCGGCAGCAACATTTTCCTGCCCAGCTGAGCAGGCAGTGCAGGCAGCGCAGGCAGTGCAGGCAGGCTCGGCGCGCCGCCTGCTGCCGGCTGCGGCTCCTG